GACCCACCCCTCAATAAGTCTCCCACAGTGGTCATGAAGGAGAACTTTATTGATCACAGGGGTTGGGTGAAAATAGGGTACAAAATAGAGCAATCTCATAGAAATTCCATCGAGCAAAACAGTCTGGCTGAGGTAGCCTTTGGATCACGCATCTGAGTTACTGCCGGCTAGATATCTAACCAGATCTCCAGCAGCTTACTCACAAGCGTCATCCCGAGGCTGTTGGAGATCCCCTCTGGAGGCAGGCCATTCCTAGCTCATGAGTTATGGGGGAGAGAGACAGTTTCAGATGGTAAACTCCTCTCTAAATCTGAGTCCCCGCATGGCTGCTGCCCCCTCCTCCTGGGCAGTCTTAACTTATATAGCCCCTGTGACCTCATTCACCTGGTCCAATGGAGGCCAGCTCCAGTTGGCTGTCGGCCAATCAATTTGAAATACATCACTAGTTGCTAGGCAGACTCTAGCCCACCAGGTAGAAGCCCCCCACCCAGGTAGCTGATACCAGTCACGAGGCAGAGGCAGCAGGTCCCCCCTCCCTCATGAATGCAGCCAGCTCAGGTTACCTAAAGAGATAGGGTAAGGTGTGTCTCCTCTGCTGGGCCCGTCCTAATCGCATTGTCACAGCACAGAGATTTTGGAGAGACACAAAGGTGGCTTCCTGCCACAAGCTGCGTGCAGCAGGTGGATGCGACTGGGCTGTATCACTGGGTAGCAAAGGAGCAGGGAACAGCCTGTTCGCCCAGGGCTGTCCCAGGACAAGCTGACAGGTGTACCCATGTAGCTGACACGGGCGTAGCTCTACCCTGGATTTCTCCACCCCCAGTGCAGGTTGCATGGCCATATGTCACATGCCCCCTCCTACACGTAGATGTGTCCAGACCCTGGGTCCATCAGAGGCAGTCAGTGGAGAAGTTGGCTTCCTCCAGCACCAACCTACGGTGACTGACCCCCACAGGGTTTGCTTAAGCAGATCAGAGAACCACCCTGGCTGTACTTGGGAGGCCAATGGTATTATCCCCATTACGCAGAGGGGAAAGCAAAGGCAGGCAGCTCTCCTAGCAGGAAGAGAGCCAGGAAGACACCCCAGCTGTGCTGGGTGTCACGGGTTTCATGAGGGTCCCTGGGTTGCGATTCCCATGCAACTAAATGTGTGACCCCTTTGTCTGGCCCCTGGCAAGGGGGTCTGGAGGGAGGCAATGGGGCTGTCTCCGGGTCTACCATTGCCTCGGTCCTTAGCTCGCCTCGCCGGCAGCATCACAGCACAGCCGTGCTCGCCGTAGCCCGCAGCCCTGACAAGGACTCCTTCCTGCGGGCCCACGGCTCGGTGCTGAAGAGACTGCACCAGGCCTGCCGGTGCGTCCCCTGGAACCCCTTCCCCATCAGCTGCTGGACGGGTGAGTCTTGCTGCCCGTCCTGGCATGTGGCTCCTGCGGGCTGGGGGTCACAGCGCCCACTGGTCCAGCTCCAGTGCAGCCAGGCTGCAGAGGCCAAAGCTGCATCGTCCTGGGGCAGGAGAGGAGGTGGTGGGGTGAGAGCATTTGCAGATGTGTCAGCACGTGCTGAGGCATTGCAGAGCTGTGATGGCCTTCGCGGGGTTGCATGCCCCAGGCTGATGCCAGCTCCAGGTCACCAAGGCGTACCCACAGCCTTCCACATCACGGCTAGTCTGAGCCCATGTCAAAGCACTGAGCACCTTGCAAGCACTCGCTGTGCCCTGCCAGTCCCCTGCAAGGCTAGTAGGGGCTAGGTGACATGCCTGGGGTTGTGCAGAAGGGCAGTGGCAGAAACTGAGCCCAGAGGCCTGGACTTCTATATCTTAACCATGACGCTCTCCTTCCTGGTATTACATGAGACAGTTTGGGCCTGGTGAATGCAGATGCATTGACCTGAATGGAGTTGGCGCTGCTTAGCCAAGCCTGGTCCCCTGGGGGGAGATGCATGATGCCTCCGTGGCTTAGCCTGGCACTGCACGGGTCCATGGAGGGGCAGGGGGGAGCAGTCAAGTCAGAGTTCACAGCCCTGCTCTTTGTAAGGGAGCTAAGCAGTCCTTAGACGATCGGCCAGAGCCTGGCTGGACTGGAAAGCGGCTCGGGAAAGCAGGTCTGCAACCTGCTGCATCCGCTTGTCCTTGGGGTTCCACCAGCAAAAGCCGCAGGCGCCCCTGAGGGCAGTGGAAGGAGACAAGAGCAAAAAGGGGAAAAGAGGAGAGAAATCATGATAAAGTAGATGGAGCAGTGACCCTTTGTGGGGGAAAGTCCTTCGGGTTCATCTGTTTGCCTGCCAAGAAGTGGTGGAGAAAAGCAGGCCCCTTGGTAGGACCCATTGGTTGTAGAAACCCCTTGAAACTGTCCCTTATCCTCCCGATGGATTTATATTGTGCCAGGAGCTCGGTCATAGAGCCAAGCCCAGGGGTGCTGAGCAAACCCAGAACAAATTTGTGGGCTGAGGCAGCGAGGGCACTACCACATGTTCTTTGCGGGAGTCATGACCATTGTGGCCATCGGCCTTTTATCGATCGCTTCTCCCACAAACACTGGAGCCGTGGCTCCAAGTCAGGGTTGAACTGAAAGCTGCGCACTGGAGACATGAGTCAGGCACAAAAAATAGGTGCAGAGGAACCAGCTTCTGGGTCCAGCCCCGCTTTGAAGTGCACCTGGCATAGCACCTCCACAGGCAGTGGTGCCAGAGGGCTAACGATGCTGGCATGTTCGTTTGGAGCCAGTGCTGTGTCTGGCTGACGGTCGTGTGGGATGGGGGCATGCGGAGTTGTGTGAAGGGTCCTAGTTCACTGGAGGATGTGACAGGAACATGTGACTGTGAAGTGAGGCAAGTGTCATGCCCTTTACCAAGGGGAAACTGAGGCACAAATGGTCAGCTGAGGCTGGGTCACGCAGGGAGTCAGTGAGGGAAGGATAAGGCCTTCCAAGATGTCCCAAGGGCAGCAAGCCCTTTGTACAGTCCATCCCCACACCTTAATGCTATTGATAGCTCTTGGCACTGGAGAACCTAACTCAGCTGGGCCGGGCACACAAATCCTTTCCCCACCGGGGACAGGTCGATGCCGTGTGGCCCTTCTCACCCAGGTTAAACGCTTGGCTGTTCTGGGTGGGAGGAGTAGGGGCTAAACAGCTAACGCTGGTGCTGAGATGACTCTCCTCCCCCAGACTCTCACAGTGTCATGGAGCCGGGATCTCACAGCCACTCCCTGACCGTCTGCACCAACCACAGCAGCTCAGCCGATTTCCTGCAGCAGGTAGCAGAGAGAGCCCAGGTCATGTATCGGGCCGGCGCCTACCTCCACTGGTACTGGCGCCACGGCTGCGAGGAGGAGGATTTCCGGCAGGCCTTCGACACGCTTCGTTCTGTGACGGATGACTACGGACACCTGGGGGAGTAACGCAAGGACGCCTTCCCCAAGGAAGCGCTGGGTAGGGCGATCTCTCATTAAAGGGCTGTGGTTCAGGGTGACCCGGCCGGGAACCAGTACTGTGGCAAGTGGCACTGACGCCAGAATGAGCTTCTTGGCTAGTGTGGCAAACAGCCCTGAGCTCCTCTGGCCCATGGACCTGGCAGGGGAATAGATGCCCCACGCCAGTGACCCAGGCCCAGGGGCAAATGCTGAGCAAAGGGGTGGCAAGGGCCAGCATGGTGGAGTCAGCAGAGCCGGGGAAATCATTTTCTGTAGCATGTACTACCCTGTGGAGCAAAGGAAGAGACAAGGGACATCCTCAGCCGTCCTGGGCTGACCACAAGCCAGAGCTATGACCTCCCAGGACACAAACCAAGGCTCAAAGGCTCCCGCTTGTGTCAGGCTGGGATGCACAGCTCTGGGAGCACTTCCCTGTTTGCCTGACAGGCAGGAGGGGACATCCCTGGGACTCCTCATGTCAGGACAGTGGGGCAGACTCTGGCCCCTAATTCAGCATCCGGAGAGGGACCTGAGCATAAGTAATGCGGCCAGACAAGCCGTCAGAGCCCATCTCACTCCCGATCAGTCCTGTTCTGAGACCTGAGACAGGGTGGCTTGGATGGGGGACGGGGCTTCCTGCATCCAGCAGAAGCCTCGGGCAAACCCTGGCCTGCCCTGGGGCTCGGAGAGGGGTGTCGCTGGGAGGGCTCCTCCTGCAGGGTGCCCAGCGGAGAGCAGCCTCCCCTGCGAGCTCTCGGAGCTGCCCCAGGGAGCGACTAGGCACGCTGGCTGCGGCACATGCCAGGGCAGAAGCTGGCTCGCTTCCTTCTGCTGGCCGCAGTCCCTCGCGGGCGCCACGCAATTGCATGCCTCTTCTCTCTGCTCTCCAGATGGGCTCCCATGAACACAGTGCCTGGCAGGACAGCTGGCAGAGGAGCTCTGCTGAGTGCGTTGAGCCTCCTCCAGGCAGGGTGCCCAGGGGAGGGGGCTGAGGGTCTTTCCTTGTGGGCCCCTGGGGCTCCCTCAGTTCTGGGCTGCTCCAGGGGCTGGTGAAGGCCCTGGGGATGCTCAGACACTTGCAGCAGTGCCTGGGCTGTGCCCTCAGGGTGCTGCAGGCGGTCCCTGTTGCCTCTCTCTCCTCTGCCCCCAACGTGCCCCCTGAGCTGCAGCTTCCAAGAGGTTGGAGGCAGGCTTGCCCAGGGGATCTGTTCCCTGGCAGGGTCCCTGTGCTGCCCCGGCCCCATTACCTATGTGAAGGGGTCAGATCTATTAGACTCTTGCCCTTAGAAAGCTCCTACATCTCGGGCTCCTCCAGAGAAGCCCAGCCAGCCAGGGGAGCTTGGAGCTGACAGCCTTGCTCTTTCCAAGGCTAAAACAAGCATGAAAAGAACAATCCTTCCGAGTCTCTTCATCCCTCATGGAGAAGCAGAGGGGGAAGCTCTCACAAGCGCTTCTACCAGGTGCTGCCTTTTCCAGGAGCACTCGGCGAAACAGGTCCTCTGTTGTTTCAGGTCGCTAACCTGCATTTCATCGTGCTGCACAGTGACGGCCTGGGATGCCAACTGCCTTCATTCTCACTGGACCAAAGCTCTTTTTCATTACTACAGCTTTATTTCTTGATCAGTCTACCCCAAAAATAAAGGCGGGAGCTGTCTGAGGTCGTTTGGTTTAGTTCCCTCACGCGGGCCAGCGTGCAGAGGGCTCCGCTCTGCCTCTGTATCCGTCACACGATGTGCAGAAGCGATAAGGGTTTGTTCTTCGTGGCAGCTGGGAGGAGTCCGGGTTTCTTCTGCATTTGCTGGAGCGAGGTCACGGTTCTGAGGTAACTGTGCTGATGAAGGAAAACGAGATCTAGTTATTCCCTGGGCTTCTGCCCCCCAGTCTGGTGGTTCGGAGGCGGATGGGGGCATGGCACGGAGACCCTTTCAGTCTCACCTTCTCTCTGGGTTGAGCGCGGCCCATCCCGAGAACCAAGGAGCTGCCCCACTGCATGACACCAGTAGCCCATCAAGTCTGGTATCTCCCCTCCAACCTGTGCCCTGAAGCTGTTCCTTGCCCTGAGACGCCCCCGTGGTAGTGGCCCATCTCCTACAAACCAAGCCACTGAGGTAACTTGGGGATGGGGAAACCACTGCCAGCTGGCTCTGGCCTGCAAAGGTCTGAGCTGGGCCATGGGGGCCAGAATGGAGACCCCCCGGTCAGCCTCATGTCCCTGCCCCCGCCCCCCCCCCACTGCTGCAAGGGGAAGGTGTCAAGGTAGGTAGGAGGGTAATGCAGCCTCCTCACTGCCACGTTTACCATTGCCGATGGCTGCTGGCAACTACAATTAGTGCCAGTTAATGGTGGGGAGAGGGGGCAGCAACGGAGTCTGAGAGGGGCCGCTGGCCCTGCCAACACCCCCACATCAGCAGCTTCTCCTGCAGAGGGGCCGGGATAGGAGGCTGATGAGGCTTCCCTGTTTCCTGTCTCTGGTGGTGGTGCGCTGGGGCAGGTATTTCCCGTGGCCGGGTGGCAAGAGGCTGCCCACCGGTGGTAAAAGGCTCCCAAGCCCTGGTGGAAGTCAGGGTAGCGCTCTCCGTGCAATGCCAGCAGGGAGCCAGCCCGCGGCCTCTGAACTCTACCTCTGCTGAAGTGACTTGATGCAGAGCTCAGCAGCACAAGCTGCAGAGCGGGGCGGTGATGAAGGGGGCTGCCAACACTTTACACCAGAGGTGGGCCAGATCCAGCCCACGGCACTGTCATCCTGTCTGCTGGGCATCCCATTCATCTGGACTTGGCAGTGGAGAAGCAGTGGTCCTGTTGGATCTGGCACCTGGTGTTAGGGGCTAGGAGGGGGAAGTGCCGCCCCCTCCCCCAGGACCCAATCTCAGTGCATGGGGACACCACTACCCTAGACCAGTGGTTCTCAAGCTTTTCCGCACTCCTGGATAGACTCAAGCACCCCTTGAAAAATGCCAACTTAGTTCTCACTCTTTTCTTGACTACAGAAAAACTAGAGCCATTCTTCCATTGCAAAGAACTCGGCACAACCACAACCATGGGTTTCTATTGGAAATCTCTGTGTGCCTCTTGTGATAAAGGGATCCCGGGTGAGAATCACTGCCCTAAATGCACTACATCATTATACCGGTGCCTTTGGAAAGGCTCGCCCAAGCCCCGCTGTCCTGCTGGAGCGGTCTACTCCAGAGGTAAGAGCACGGCAAGGAGCTGCTCTCACAGCACACGCCAACACATCCACTTGGGATCTGGGCCCCTGGGCGCACTACCTGCTGCTCCATCTTCGATTTGGCATTGTAGAAGGGGACTGAACCTGGGCAGGCTGGCAACGCTGCTTTCTGCATCCGGTCAAACCTCTCCTGCTCATCTTCGTCCTGGGAGAAAGAGACAGGCAGAACCCAGCCCCATATAAAACACGGGGAGGACTGGTTGGGAGGTTGTAGGAAACAAAAGGGTTATCAATGAACCTTCAGCCTAATGATGCCATGGGCATGGGGCCATATGACAGTTCAGAGACCTGGACTGGAAGTGAGAGCCTTCCCCTCTCGGGGGGGGGCTTACATGTAACTCTGGGCAGGTGGCAGAAGACTTGTCAGCCAGTGTAAATGCTGACAACTGTTCTCCCAACTCTGTGGCTTCTCATAGCCTTGCTCTCTCCAGAAAGCACTTAGGAGGCCTGGGTGTGGACAGGCTCTGACTCAGGCAAGCCTGTACATCTAATGGGGTGCCTGGTGACATGCTAAGATGCCAAAAAGGGACAAGGAAGAAGCCAGGACTCCTGAACAGCTGCTCTAGGTTGTCTCTCTCTTTCAGGGGCTCCCAAAAGAAAGGCCTCATATGTAAGCAAGGGGCAGGAACTTGATGCCCCTGAAATTCAGGGGAGCTTTGCCTTGGACTTCAGTTTTGTGTTGGACTTTCACCTCGTGGGCTTATCTCATTTGCTGGATACAGAGTCCCAACTGGTATCCTGTCTCTTCCATGATCCTCATAGATGTCTGGCCTGTAGTTTCCTGGTACATTTAAGAACAAGCTTCCTCCATTTCCCCTCACCTTATACTTGCTGCATGTAGTCTTACAGCCATGTAATTCAATAGGTAGGCAAGAAATCCATCATGATACCCCTCAAGACACTTCCAAAAGACACATTACAAGGGAACGTAAGAAGTCCCAGCCCTCCACGACCTCTTTTGCTTTTGTCCCTCCCAGGCACCTGGCTCTCTGAGTTAATTGAAGGCTGCCACGTGAAGCCCAGAGTCCCTGTTTTCTCTCCTGGTGCCTTCCTTTCCTTTTCTATCGTACCATCATCACCTCCCTGGTAAGGTGAAGAGTGCCCAGGAGCAGGTCTGCCTCATTATGCTGTTGACTGTAGGAAGCCAGGCCCCAGATACAAATCCAACCCCAACCCCTTCCTCATCTCTGGCTGCCTCCCAATCTGGTCACCTGCATCATCTGACCTCTCTGTCCAGCCCTGCTCCTGCAGTGCCTCGACAGTGGTCCCCACAATCTCTTTGCCCTCTGCTTTTATCCTGCTCTCTGACACTTGCCCATGCCTTTTGGCTCTTGTCTTCAGCTCTTGACTGCAGTTCCTGACCTTGTCTCCAGCTACCTGACCCTGGGTCTTGGCTTCTGGGTTCTTGTCTTACACCTCCTGACTTTGGTGCTTGATCAGGGCCCTAGCCCCCCTGTGAGGCAGCTCGCACCCCAATTTCCAACAGCTTGAGCAGCCAAAGTCCTTTTCAATGCACCAGGCTTATCTGCTGAGGCTGGCTTCCTGCAGCTAGGAGGGTCATGAGGCACAACTGCATCAGTCAGGTGGCTCTTGTCTAGCCACAACCCGGGTGCAAGCCCTTAACCCTAACACTCCCAAGTTTCCAGCTACCTTCACTTTGCAACGTATTAAAGATGCAAGTCAAACCAGGCTGTAAACCCAGACTTGGGCCTAATTGAGTGCAGGACCAAACTAAGTACCCTGGGATGCATCAGCAACCTACATCTGCAGAGCTGGGGCTTTGGTGGTGTTCAGCAGTGGGGCGTCTTGGCTGCTTTCAGTGGCAGTGAGGTCTTCTAATGCTTGACCCTGAGCTTTCCAGTCAAATGAAACCATGGTCCAGTCAGGGCAAAGGAATTCCTTTTCAGTTATAATTCCCAAGTGTCCTTGCAGTGTGTATAATACAGGCAAGGTGGTAATCTCTCCCTTCTCAGTAGCGGGTGGGTCTGGGCTGTCACTCTGTACTGCAGAGATGGTTCCACGTCAGTGGCAATGTATGCGGAAGTGTTTGAGCACCTTTGGTATGGAAGGCACCACGTCTGTGGCAAACAAAGCTCTGGGTCTGAATCCCATGTTTCAATATAACCCAAACCCTGGACAGGGTTCAGAGGAGAGCAACACGCAGGAGGAAGAGCCTGGGGAATATGAATGTTAAGAGAACTGTCCATGCTCAGGAAGGACAAAGGGTCACTGATTCCCACAGGAATCCTGTCTCTACAGATGTCTGGCGCAGCGCCGAGAGCTGCTCTCAGTGCCGGCAGGACAATGGCGTTGTAAACACTACAGATCATAGAGGCTGGGAACAAGTCTCCCAGCTGCTCCCTGCACCTCCTACCTGGTTTGGTTATTGATAGCACACAGATCACCATCTGCTTGAAGGAATCTATTTCCTATCATTCACTTAGATCATACACCAAAGTGAGACCCACCTGCTGACAGCAGCTCTCCTGCTTCTTTCCCTACAAATGACATCTCAAAGCTAAACAGCACCGCTCAGAAAAAGAGTCCAAACTATAACTACCCCCCATATTGCCTCTGGAGGACTACTAGTGTTCTTACTGGCAACGCAACACCCGTTAGCAAGCAGAGAAGGAAGAAGTGCATGGCAAAACTCACCAGACACATGACTCTGTTAATGGGGATCATACCAGGTCGGATGTTGCCACCGGGTTTTATCGCTTCCTGCATGCCCTCGGGAATAAGGAAGGATTCATTGTACCAGATTTCAAACTCTGAAAGGCAGAAGGAGAGGACAAGAAATGGGGCTGCAATGGGGAAGGAGACTAGGGCTTTCTGCCATGTGGACTGCAGTACTTTAACCATGCGGCAGAGCTGCTGTCAGATGAAACCTGCTGCACGTGGACAGGTTATATAATCTGCTGCCTTTACATGGGAAGCAGGTCTCAAACATGCTCTGTCCTTGGGGAATCCATTATGTAGGTGCAGGGTAGAGCTACCCCGAATGGCCGCTGGAGGTCATTGTTCCTGCACGCTGGGACAGAGGAAAACCGTTTTCAATCTGGCATCGAGAACCTCAGGCGAAGCAGCAATAGGTGGCCAGCACATTTGTGGTCTGTGAGCCCAGCACTAATGGGCGTGCTGTCCCATAATAGCAAGTGAGCATGCACAGCAGGTGTTGCAAAGCTGCTGGGACAAGCCTTGTTGTTAATAACAGGCATTTCCCAGGCAGCCGTCTCCAAGGTCTCCACTCCTCCCTACGTTCCTCACAGGGCCGGGATTCAAGGGAAGTGAGGCCCTGGGGAAGCTCTATTCTGCAGGACTGCCCCACACAGGACTTAGGGCAGGGTGGGGAATGCTACACACAGAGCTCTGCTTTCACTACCCCTGTGCCAATGTGAGTATAAGGGCACTGGCTTTCTGCCCTGACTTGAACGAGACATCTCAGCATTAAAAGCATTTGCGTGGGTGACCCTGGGATTTCACATTTCAGCAAATGCAAACATCTGGAGCTCCAAGTGTGGGCCAAGTCTTGGTTGCCCCTGAAGCCAATGGCAAAACTTCAATGCAATTAGGATTTGGCCCCAAGTGGAGCAGTCTGAACAAAACACAATGCATTTGTTTCAGCCTGGGAGGTCCCTGTAAGCTTGGGCCTTGGTGTTTGTAGAAAATGGAGTAATAGATACATGTGAAGCTTCCAACTGCTTCCAACTGTGATACGTCTACATCTCAAGTCATGAACTCGCAGGCTTGGCAAGGTTCTTGGTCAGCCCCCTGCAGAGGCAGGATGCACTGTTCCTAACGCAAGGCAGACAGACGCCTGTCTAGCCTTTTCTTAAAAACCCTCAGTGCAGGAGAATCCACCACTTCCCTGGGCAGCTTTTTCCACTGACCTGTTGCTATTTCAGTTAGGAAGTTTTTATTTGGGATTGGATCTAAAACTGCTTTCCTGCAACTTAGACCCATTGTCACCAGACGTGCAGTGGTGATTCGCAAGTGACAGCTGGGAGGAAGTTCGGTCGTAGGGACCCCTAAATTTTGGTAGGTGTAATTGCTGTTATTTCTGTAGGTGCAATTGCTGATATTTAAACACCTGCTCCCTGTTTGATGAGCACTACCAGGTTCTTGGAGATGCTACTGACTGCCCTAGGTGGGATACTGTCTGGAAGCACTGCATGTACCTGAGATCAGTCTGCTGCGGCACTGGCCCACCAGCTGTTGACAGTACTGGATTTCTGCCCTCAGGTCCTGCAGTTCATCATAATCAGACCTGTACTGTTTCTTCAGATCCTGGAGCTTCATGATCAGCAAGAACTCCTCCTCGTCGATTATGATCTGTCCTTTCTCATCAACATACTCCCCTGCAGGGGCAGAGAAGGAAGTGAGGGTTCCTCATGGGTGGAGGAGAGTGAGAAAGAACAGTGATCGTGCTCTTAACCACACACTAGTTACCCAGTTATAATGAGGTTAACCACACGATCAGCGTTTCCTCAGACCCACCGCTGCATGGAGCTGGAGCAGCTAATTCCTGAACCTGCTTAGATCTCATGTCCTCCCCAACGTAGCAGCGTGTAACTAAAGTGGGTTGACTGTGCTTCCTGGTTACTTATCTCCTGCATGACACATGCATGATATGTGCATCCTTTTCCACCCCAGGGGCCAGTCCAGACTGATCAGTTCAAACAGGAGCATGTACACTCAAAGCTAAGTCACTGCTACTCTGCCAAGGGGCAGGCAAAAGGGTTTTACACTGAACTGGCCTAATTCTTTTCTGAATGACACCAGCTCCATGTCAGCCTGAAATCCCTCTGGACATCCTGGGCCTGCAGTCTTCAACTGCATAAAGCCTGTGTAACAGGGCCCTGGGTGGCTGGTGAGCTGGGGGAAGAGGTGGCACTGGAGGGATAAAGCAACTGCTCTTCCCTACTCCTGCCCGGATCTGGGGTTATCCATCCCCCCCGGCTGATGCTCACCCTGCAGCTCCCGTTCCTGCTTCTGAAGCTCAAGGGCCTCCTTGGTGATGTCCATCTGGTGCTTTATGAGGTTGATCCTCTGGGTTATCTCGCCTGCCTTCCTCTTCCTGTCACTGAGGATGGCTTTGTTCTCCTTGAAGATCCGGTTGATCTCGCTCCCACGCTCATTTTTGAAGTCCTCAAATGCCACCGGCTTCAAGGGAGGGGTACTGCATCAGGGCCAAAGAAGAAAGATACAGAAAGACTCAGTTTGCTCTGGCTTTGGGCTTGATTGACTTCCGCAGAGCAGGATGACAGGGCCTGTAAACCATTACAGGGCCCATCACAACCCATCACTGCGGGGCTCTCTCTGCGGGAGCCTTCACGCCCTTCTCTCTGCTCAATGACTCTCAAGGAGGAAGAGTTACTTACACAGCAGCAAAACTCTCTCGAGGCTGCCTCAGGGTTGATTCTGCCCTGAAGTTGGGTCTTTATTGATCCAAATACCTGAGAGTTGGGGCCCCTGAGGCCAGCCTGGGAACCCAGGGGAGCAGAAAATGCTTATGTGAAGCAAGCCTCTTGCAGGTGCTGGCATATCCTATGAATCTAACTCCCCGGACTAGAATCCCATGGGATTGCCTATGGATCCACATTCTCCCCCAGCATCCCCTATGACTCTACATGTGACACTAACCTCCCGCTGTATTCCCTATGCCACCGTGCCCTTGGCCCAACCTACAGGACAGTGATTCTATGGAGATAATTCTTCATCTACCTTTGCTAACCCAGGGAAGTCATCTTCCAACTCCGTCGAGTTCCCCCTACATTTGTCCTCTAGAAACAGATGCAACACAGGGAGATGGATGACAACGGGCACTGTCTACATGTGAAATTCATACAAATGAATAAATTCTGGCGCACGTTGCCCCAGAGTTTATTGCTCCCGGGTGCCACGTCTTGATGTGTGCCCAGGACTGCAGCACATCGAGCCAGGTCAGAGCAGCTCCAGCTGCTGCCAGAAGGGCAGATACAAGGTACATTGGTGTGAATGTCAATCAGTTCTTGTGGGAACTGAGCCCTGAGTGGTGAAGTGGTGTCAGCGCCTGATTTTGGCCAATGTTTGGAGCACTTAGTGTACGACAGAGGTAGCCAACCTGTAGGCTGTGGGGTCTGTGGCAGACTGGGGAGAGGGCAGGCGGCACAGCAGCAGATATGGCACGGAGCAGAAAGCAGAGCATCACAGCAGGCATGAAGTACAGGGCAGAAGCAGAAAGCAGAGCAGCAGACAGTGCAGGAGAAAGGGGCTGGTGTGGCATTCAAAGACGGCGAATGGCTAGTTTGTGGCATGCCTGCCAAAAAGGTGGGCCCTCACCGATATAAGAGATCCCCAATCTGCCTCAGACCCTGCTGAACTGCACCTCAGCTGAGACACACACACAAGCCGTTCCCACGCACATGCCTTGCGTCCCATGAATATGGTACGAGACCCCTGGAAAGAGGTGTAAGAGCAGGAACTGTACACGAAAATACCATGGTGTGAGGCTAGCCAATGCTGTACTTCCCATTTGCTACCTGGAAGTTACATCCTCAGACGGGCCTTATCCCTGTACCCTTGGCACAGACTAATTCTCCCTTGCATGCAACTCTGTGCCTCTGCAGATACACCCGTGTGACACAATGCAGTCCTGTGTGCAAACATCAGAGCGATCTCTGACCTGGCTTTGCCATCACACAGGCTGCCAATACATGTGCTTGTTTGCATTCTAATTAGAGCATGTCAGAGCCAACTCGATTAATCACGTCTGCCCCACGTTCTAATTAGAAACTCCAGCATGGCCTCCCTGGCATGTGCATTAACCCCCATGCATTTTAAAATGGCTGCAGGGGCACTTTATCTAAACCTTGTCGAATGAGATTTAAATAAAGCCTCTTGCAGCCATTTGTAAACATGCAGGGGCTTAATACATGTGACAGTGAGCTGTTTTAATTAGAGCAGTTGTCCAGATACCATTCTAATTAAAATGCCCTCCCTCCCCGCAAATCCTCGAGCACATGCATAGGCAGTGATAAAGTCTTGTGAGTTCAGTTCTCTACCTGGTATAATGTATTCTCCTCACCAGGACTTCACTGCTCATTCACTGGGGAGGCCACATGTGGAGTCCTGTGTCCAGTTTTGGGCCCCCCACTGCAGAAAGGATGTGGGCATATTGGAGAGAGTCCAGAGGAGGGCAATGAGCATGGGTTGGCGGCTGGAGGACATGACTTGTGAGAGAAGTGCGCTTATTGAGTCTACAGAAGACCGAGGGGGATTGAATAGCAGCCTTCACCTCCCTGCAGGGGGGCTGCAAAGAGGATGAAGCTGGACTGGTCTCAGTGGGGGCAGATGACGGGACAAGGAGCAATGGGCTCAAGTTGAAGCAAGGGAAGTTGAGGTTGGAGATTAGGAAAAACGTTCTCATTAGGAGGACAGTAAAACACTGGAACAGATTGCCCAGAGTGGCTGTGGAGGTTTCCTCTCCAACCTTGGAGGTTTTTAAGACCTGGGTAGACAAAGCCTTGGCTGGGATGGTGTAGCTGGGGCTGGTCCTGCTTGGAGCAGGGGGTTGCACTAGATGTGACCTCCTGAGGTCCCTTCCAGCCCTCATTGTCTATGAGACTATGATTCAGAGCTAGCTCAGGTATCTCTACGCTGCACTCTGCCATGCAGACATACCCAATGTGTTTGGCTAGCTTTACAATAATGGGTGAACCATTTGCATTAGGCTGCAGGGATTCTCTAACCAGTGAAATGTGCTCTGAAATGAGACACACTGATACAAAACTGCCTGCGTAGCTGCTTGAACATAAACATATCCACAGCAAACAGCTGGGTTTTTCTTCACGAGTCAGTGCTGCCACACTGGGAGGCAGGGAGATCTCTTCTCAAGGAGGCGCACAGGGATCCCACACTCCTTTCTTCTGTGGCTCAGCCCTCTGTGCTGTGGGACTGTTTCCGTGGGGCAGGGTGGGATTCATAGCCAGGAGTTCACATATTCCATGCACTGAAAACTCCTCTGATCCTTCTTTCAACATCCCCTAATCCATCTCCTTTTGGGGAGCAGATTCCATCTTCAAACTCCAAAGGGATCAAGGGTGAGAAAGCTTTCAGCCCCACATTGCTGGTAGAGACCTCACCCTGGCCTCATGCTGCAGCAGGGGCAATTTACGCTGGCGATTAGGAGGAACTTTCCGACTTGGAGGGCGGTCAAGCATTGGAGGAGGCACCTAGAGGAGCTGTGGCATCTCCATGCTTGGGAACTTCCAAAAGCAGGTCAGACAGACACTTGGCTGGGGTGGTTTTGTCAGACTGACCCTGCCTTGAGCAGGAAGCTGGACTAGATGTCTTTATATGGTCCCTTCCAGCCCTGCTTTCCTATGATCCTATATGCAGCAGCTTGTGAGGATGAATTTGGCAGGCTGCTGCTCGATAGCTGCAAACCAACTCCAGTCTCAGCGAGCTGGTTTTGGAGTGGCAGCAGCTAAAGCTATAGCTGTGGCTTCCCCTTCTCTGCCAGCAGCTGGACCTTGAGGAGAACAAGAAATACACAAGGAGATTGAAGAAGACTGCGGAGCTGTTTTCAAGAAGGAGTTTTCTTGGAACAGCTTCACTCTGATCTGTGCTGCTTCTGGACTAGTGCAGACCCATGGGATAGGACAGCACAACCAGGGTGACCAGCAGTGGTTGGAGAACTTCAGAAGGACAACGGGCACTTTCCTAGACATCTGCACAGCGCTTACCCTAGCACTGCAGAGGTAGTGGGAGAGTTCCCTCATCTATTCAGAAGTGTGTGGCCATCGCTGCCACTCCTTATTGCTTCCTCTTGGTTACTAGACAGTTCGACCTGGGCAGGCCAAGTGTTAGGGTCATACAAGGGAGGTGTGCAGAGCCATTGAGAAGATACTTCTGCTGTGTGCTGAAAGGCTTGCCCATCCTCAGGGGGTTATCAGTGGCTCTGTGTGTACAGAATATCCCCAACCGTGTTGGTGCAACTGATGAAATCCACATTTCTAGCATCTGATCCCACCATCAGGCTTCAAAGTGCGTAATGCCCTGTGCCTTAGTCTGTTCTGAAGTCTAGCTCCTTCTCTTATTTGTCCTCCTTTTATTGCAGTGTTCCTGAATCTCCTCCCATGCTCTACAAAGACCTTTGAGAGCTCCCCAACCATTTCCTTTTCAGTTCTCCTTGTCTTTATCCTCAAGCTTGCCAAACACTGGTGATTAAGTCCAATGCCTTTAAGGGTCTGGATAATGCAGTTACCAACTCTAGAAGACAAAAAAAGAAAGAAGCTGTTATTGTTTGCTGTCTGCTTTCCATGTTAGCAAAGCTAAGGCATTCACAGTTTTGGGCTTCCATGTCCAGAGTCTCTTTCTAGTCCTGTGAGACCCTGGAGATGATAAGTTCTCTTCCAGTTTCCATCCAGGTTCTTTGGTGTGCTGCTGAGCTGGTATCAAGTTGTCTTCCTTCTGGTTTGCTGTTGTGTTGTATTTCAGGGAGGCTGCATGTGCAGTTTCTAGTTATCTAATTAACATCATGAATGGGGCACTATGAAACCAAGCTAAGGGCTGCATTTGCACTTCTTTAGTTAATCGTAACACTGGAGGACATGCCCCAGATCTAGGTGACCAAAAAGGAATGAAAATAATGATTTACACAGGCTAAAGAGAACTCAGCAAGACAAGCATGGCCCTTCTTTGTCTGGTTTGCTTCCTGCGATGCTGCGGCTAGTAAAGCAACCAAAACGCTGGCTTGCATCCATAGATGCTTCTCAAGCAAATCCCGGGACGTCATTCTCCCCTTGGTACTTAGCCTTGGTGAGGCCACAGCTGGAGTACTGTGCCCAGTTTTGGGCCCCACAATTCAAAAAGGATGTGGAGAAGCTTGAGAGAGTCCAGAGAAGAGCCACACACATGATCAGAGGTCAGGAAAACAGACCTTTCGACAACAGGCTGAGCGCCATGGGGGTCTTTAGCCTGGAAAAGCGCAGGCTCAGGGGGAATCTGATGGCCACCTATAAGTTTATCAGGGGTGACCACCAGGATCTGGGGGAACGTTTGTTCACCAGAGCGCCCCAAGGGATGACGAGGTCGAACGGTCATAAACTACTGCGAGACTATTTCAGGCTGGACGTAAGGAAGAATTTCTTTGCTGTCCGAGCCCCCAAGGTCTGGAACAGCCTGCCATCGGAGGTGGTTCAAGCACCTAC